TTAAAATCAAGTTTTAATTTAAATTTTATTTTCAGAGTAATAATGACTGCTTCTTCAGCAGGAATCTATGGAAATTTTGGTCAAGCAAATTACAGTTCTGGTAAATTAAAACAAAAACATATTTTGCATAAAAATTATGTTTTAATTTAAATGATATTAATTAATGCATTTTAATAACTAGCCAAACTTGGTCTTGTTGGCCTTAGCAAAACATTAGCAATAGAAGGTGCTAAATATGGAATACATTGTAATACAATTATACCTGTAGCTGCATCACGTCTTACTGAAGATGTATTACCTGAAGGTTTGTTAAAATTAAACATTTCTTTAAGTAAAATAATTTATTTTATTTTAGAACTTCTCATTCCTTAAATGAGGTGTTCTAAAATCACCTGCTTAAGTCTAATAAAATAAAAGATTTTTTGATTAGTTTGGAATATGTATATCCATTTTCAGTTCTAATTGAGTCTATTTACATTAATATTAAATACATTTTAAATTTAAGCAAAATTTTTATCTATAAAAAATTTACTCAAGAATTAGCAAAATAATTAAATATATAAATCTAAACAAACATTACAAAAAATGATATATATTGCATTATAGAAAATACATTAGTTAACAATAACAAACTAAAGCACAGTTGAAATAAAATATCTTAAAGTTATTAAAATCATTTCATGTTAGGCTTCTTTGTGAATCAATTATCAAAAAGAAGGAAGCAAATCACTATCTCTTACCAGTACAGATTATGTATTAATGAATTATTTCATTAATGAAATAACTCAAAATGTCTGCAATTTTGGCACTAATGATGTAGTCACATGAATTTATGAAGCTATAAACTTGTAGTTTTGACATTTTTTTTTTTTTTTCAGCATAATTCTTTCAAATCATTCTCTCTCCCCTTAACTTCTGATATTTTTTGATGAACCCTCACAAAATTTGTATTGCTATTTTTGTCCTGAACTGTATTTTTTTTAGTCATCCAGTCTTTTAGTAATATTCTTGATATAACAGCTGCAGATAGGTCAAACAAATTTTTTTAAGTAAAATTGACAATGTACAGTGGTGCCTCGTACAACGTACTTAATCCGTTCCAGGTGCACGTCCGTTAAGTGAAACGTCCGTTATACGAAACGCATTTTCCCATAGAAATACATGTTAAAACATATAATTCGTTCCGCAGCATAAAATAACCATACTGTACCATAAAAAATGAAAATGGAGCAGACACCAATTATGCCGGGTAGTCAGATGTTGTGAGGAGGAGGTGGAAGAACACTTTCTTTACACATTCATACAGATACAGACTTTTTACACATTTCAGCGGGTCTTTTTTTATTGTTTTTTAATCGGAGTCAGATTCAG